ACATAAAAGTTACTTATTGGTGTATCTGACTTTTCACGGTCTTCGCTCAATTCTTTTCGTCCATGCGCATAAGTGTTCTTATGTATCTTAACCATTAGATGAATGTCACGTAAAACCACATCATGTTCGGTTTTAAGATGACATACAAAAATAAGAAGATTTGGTATGATTGCCAATGAGACAACTCTCCACCAGAGACCAAATGACATAAAAGTGTACAACTATAGATCACCGTACGGCCTTCAACAATGAGCAATACCCATACCGCATAGTCAGCAATAAAAGGCTCCAGATACTTCCCATACCCGGTACAGTGGTGTCATAGTACAACATAAAAACAAACTATAAAATCAGTTAAAAAGGGCTCAACTAATCAGATCGATACAAAGCAGAAGAAAATCTAACAAAAACACAGACCGGACGTGGTAAGGTATTTATACATCCCCACAACAAAAAAGACACTAAGTACAGATCTGAGAGTACATGCAGTTAATGACAGCTAGTTCAAAGCCACTAACAACTAATAGAAAAATCATGCATCGAAGACTAAAATATCAATCTGTACATATCCAACATCCAATGGATTTAGTGTAAGGACGTAATTAACAGTCAGAGAAAAAAAACATGACTTTGTACAATGCCAAGATACAGGTATCGGTAGATGGTAGAGTCCATAAATATGCATACTACCCAGCTTTAAGCCTCTTCCGAACATTTGAAAGTCCCTTCTATGTACTGGTTACCTAAATTGCACAAAAAACCATTTAAATTCCGTTTCATCTCCGCATCTAGTAAGTGTTCTACTACCAATCTATCAGTGCTTCTAACTACCTCCCTTACTACTATCAAAGAACTTGTTATTAACTTTTGTAATAAAGCTTATGAAAATAATGGTGTTAATTATTTTTGGAGTGTTAAAAATTCTTTAGAGGTTTTAGATAAAATACATGCTTTTGGTGGTCCTTTTAATTCTGTTGACAGTTATGATTTTTCTACTCTCTATACTACACTTCCACACAATCTTATCAAGAAAAAATTTTCATATTTAAGTAAATGGTCTTTTGAAAAATCTCATTACAAATTTATTTGCTGTAACTCGTTTACAGCCTTTTTCTGTAACGAAAAAGGAAAGTATGCTAGATACACTTACTGGAAATGTGAAGATATGATTGAAGCTTTAAATTTTCTCCTGGACAACATATTTGTACGTTTCGGCGATAAAGTGAATCGACAAGTAGTAGGTATTCATATGGGCACTAACTGCGCTCCTTTAATAGCAGATTTATTCCTGTATTGCTATGAATCTCAATTTATGACCAAACTCAGTAAAGACACGTCATTGTTACATTTGGTTGATACATTCAACAATACCTTCCGTTATCTAGATGATATTTTTTCGTTAAATAATCCAGAGTTCTCTAAATATACTACCGAAATTTACCCATAAGAACTTACTTTAACTAAATCTAACATAAACAGCAGTAGTTGTCCTTTTCTAGATTTGGACATTTCAATCTCTAAAGGAAAACTCAATACTAAAATTTACGACAAAAGTGACGACTTTTCATTCCCTATTGTTAATTTTCCTTTTTTAGACGGCGATGTTCCTTTGGCTCCGTCATACGGTATTTATATATCCCAACTCGTTCGTTATGCCCGTGTGTGTAGTGATGTCATAGATTTTAACGAACGTAATCAATGCATCACTGGTAAATTATTAAGTCAGGGGTTTCGTTACCATAAATTACGTAAAACTTTTACTAAAATCTTTCATAGATACAAAGATTTGATAAGTAAATTTGGCTGTACCTGTAGAAAACTGATTAAAAACGGTATTTCACATCCTAAATTTTACGGTAATATTGTACTTATAGCGCGGAAATCACTATGTGATCCGTGTAAACTCATCGAACCTTTAAACAAACTTATTAGTAAAGGTTATCTTACCAATGTTGTAATAAGATCTTTGTATATAGTTTACATTGGCACTAATATCGACTTTGTCATCGGCAAATTAAAACATAACTAAATTTGTATTCTTTTCAAACGGGATGTATAAAGACACACCCACGTTCATTTTGATCTATAAAGAGGTTAACTCCTAACTAGCCTACTGCCTGTCGATACATTTATTTTTATTTACCTGTGTTTAAAGTAATTGCAAATGGCTGATATTTTTGTTCAAGTACATTGTTTTTCTTAAATTATTTAACATTTCACAGCGGTATAAAATGTTACTTTAATAATTCTTTCCTTAGTTTATTTATTTTGTATTTGCATTGTATCATAGATCAAATTTATTTGTTCGGTGTATGTTCACTGGTGTTAATATGTCTTTTGATTGAGTTAAGCCATTTCAATTGATATTTTATAGTGCGTTTTTCTATGTTGTGATGTTACACTGTTGTTTCAGATAAGGGTGAAGGTTTGGTACCATTAAAACGTTTAAACCGGCTGCAATCGTTTGCACCTGTCCTAAGTCAGGAATCTGATGTTCAGTATCTGTCGTTTGTTGATGTGGTTCATAAGTGTTTCTCGTTTTTCGTTTTTTATATAGATTAGACCATTGGTTTTCCCGTTTGAATGGTTTTACACTAGTCATTTTTGGGGCCCTTTATAGCTTGCTGTTCGGTGTGAGCCAAGGCTCCGTGTTGAAGACCGTACTTTGACCTATAATGGTGTACTTTTATAAATTTTGACTTGGATGGAGAGTTGTCTCATTGGCACTCATACCACATCTTCTTATATCTATATGTACATAAAAATAATGTTATTATGCCTTATTAACTGACCTTAATTTAGAGAAGCAAAATTGCAGATCTTAATTCCTTTATAGAAAAATTTCAACTTTCTTGTGCTGGATTGTGAAACATTTTCTATCGGGAAGTCCAGCATCAATTAACAGTCAGAGAAAAACATGACCTTGTGCAATGCAAAGATACAGGTATCGACAGATTGTAGAGACATGAATGTGCATAATTATGTACATAAAAATGATATTTAGTTTGATTTTAATTTACTAATAACAAAATCAATACTTTAACCAAAAAAAACAAAACTCAATAATCTAATTACAGTGTTGAATTGGTAACCTTTTATAATAAGTTTATTTAAATGATCGATAAATTTACCCGGGTCGTATCTTAATTTCGGAGCTCGGTAAACAATATCTCCGTAAAAAGTAGAATTTGCTATCCCGTTTGAAATAAGTTTTTTACAGGTAAAGCCACACTTCCAAACCAAATCTCCGTATCTATGAAAGAATTTAGTAAAGGTTTTAGCTAATTTGTGGTAACGAAATTCCCGACTTAATAATTTACCAGTAAACATAGATTACGTCAATTGAAATCCTAAACGTCACAACAGACACGGGCATAGCGAACGAGTTGTGATATATAAACACCGTAAGATGGTGCCAAAAAACATCACCGTCCAAAAAAGGAAAATTAACAATAGGGAACGAAAAATTGTCCCTTTTGTCTAAAATTTTTGTGTAGAATTTCCCGTGTAAAACTGAAAAATCTAAATCTAGAAAATGAGAGTTATTACCGTTTAAATTTGAATTATCAAAGTTCCTTTTGCAAAAATTTGGCCGTATATTTAGAAAATTCTTGATTATTTAACGAAACTTTATCATCAAGATAACGGTAAGTGTAGTTTAATTTATCAATTAAATGCAATTTAGACGGGTCTTTGCTGAGTTTGGTCATTAACTTTGATTCATAACAGTACAAGAACAAGTCTGCTATTAAAGGGGCGCAATTGGTTCCCATAGGAATACCTACAACTTGTCGATAAACTGTATTGCCAAACGTACATAAATGATATCAAGCAGAAAATTAACAGCTTCAATCATCTCATCACACCGCCAGTAAGTATATCTAGTATATTATCATTTCTCATTAGAGAAGAAGGCTTTAAATGAGTTGTAGCCACTATATTTGCTAGGATTGTGTGGAAATGTAGTGTAAAGAGTCGAAAAGTCACACTGGCAACAGAAACAAAAGGACCATCTAAAGCGCGTACTTTTTCTAAAATATCCAAAGAATATTATACACCCCAAAAATAGTTTATTCCACTAGTTTCATATTTTTTATTACAAAAGTTAATGATAGGTTCTTTAATTGATAGTAGTTAAAAGCACTGAAAGAGTAATTGTATAACACTTACTAGAGGCCGAGATGAAACGATATTTTACTGGTTTAATGTGTAGTTTAGGTAACCAATACATAGTAATGACCTTCAAATGTTCAAAAGAGGCCTTATGATGTGATGTGGTTATGGTATGATTGTTTACTATAGGACTCTCAGTGGAGCGCAAGGACTTGAATATAGAAGAATTTAAAATTTCGTTCTTCAGAACTTCCGTGTATTACTTACGGCATACCACCACCACAGTGTCGGCTGCTTTGTAGGCCGGTACAAACACAAACCGCTTTGCGAGTACTTGAAGTTTGTTTCTTATTCTAAAAATTGGTGTATTATGTATTCTTTTATTTCTTTCTAACTTATTCTAAAAGGTGATATTCGAATAACCACAACATTCATACATTTATTTAGATAAGAATCAAGAGATTTTTATCAGATTTTTTCCCGTCTACAACAATTTTTACAATACAATGAAAGAGCGTCTTTTATGACCCGACGACACTGTTTCCAATCTATTTTAGATGGAGGACGATATTTTGATCCTTTTTTTTCAAAAATTTGCCTGAGGATTGTCGGTGCGATATATAATGATCTACTTTATCATTTTTTCGTGCAGGTTTTATTATTAAGCATATTAAGGGTGTGCAATGCAATACATTTGCTCTTTAAGGAGCACCACTCCTAATATATTTTACCTTTCACTTATTCTAATAAAAGAAATGATTAAATATAAAGAAAAAATTAAAGCTAAAATGAAATCTATATATATATATATAAATCAAATCTTTTTATATATGTGTGGATTAAATACCCATTTCTAAAAACTGAATAAGCATTCTTATTTTAAACTGACCAGGAACAAAACATGAACTAATGGCGGATCCTGTCGTATATGACTTTACACCGTAGGATAAGTATGTGTTTTATTATGAATAACTAATTGAAATGAGCATTAATTCTTACATAAACTATGTCTGTTGGCATCGGTATATATTGGTCTAATAATGTAACAATATGTAAATGATTAAAATGTGTTTATATATTTCAGTCTGTCAACCAGACGATTAATTTTCCTTTGTTTTGTTATCAGGTTATTTCGTTCTTTTGTTGATCTAACGCTCATCCTTTAAAGATCATCAATATGGATATATGATATTCTTTTTTCTTCTTCTATATGATCAATATGAAATATAAATTTTGATTGACATGAATGGTGTTAATAACATTAATTAATTCATTTTCAAGGTTATATCAAGAAAATAACACCACTCACGTAAAAGGTGTACACTAAATGCATTATGTGTATTTTAAAGTATTTATGCAGATATACGCAATTTGCCTGGCTAGATTGACGAACAAATTGTTTATGAAAACATATTTGATTCCAAAACACAGTGTAAACGTGTTATTGTAAAAAAGAAAGAAATGAATAGCTTATGATTAAACACAATCTTCCTGTCATACATACAACATATCTTACAAGAACAATTTAATCGTCATGTCTCCCGTTTCCTTTGTTCCGTTGACTATTTCAAAGGGGGAACATTGACTTATCTACGTGTTTATAGCCAATAAAAATGTGTTGCATTAAGAATAAATTGTGGTGAATCTCAATATATTGACACATTTCAATTTGTTAAACGTTATTAGAAATGTCAAACAGATACATGTCTATTTTCCTTTTTGTTCGTTATATGTATAGGATCGTTCATCTTGACAATTTGCTTTACTAGACTTGAGAACTGAAACTGCAATATCTTATCATGTTGAATGACAAACTTATGACACATGATACCCCGGAATTCGATTGACATTTTCGTCGCTAGTCCACGGTGAAGTCATGACATTTTCAGTCAAGATCATCGTAATTTATAATAAATTTGTGTTGCTGCAATATTTTATTGATACGGAGTTAATAATAATTAATCTTATATCATTTATTTTACGTATAAAACTCCGTTGAGTATACATTAATTAAAGATTTAGATACTTCAAGAAATACTGTGTGGCCGCATGTGGTATTGGTCTTGCTCATTATTGAAGGTTGTACGGTCACCTTTGGGTGCCTACACCCAAGTTGTTTATACAGTTGAATTGTCTCATAGGCAATCTATCCACATCTCCTATATTCTGATCAAAGATTTAAATAATTCAAGAAATACTATGTGGAATAATATCGGCCGTAGGAAAAAAACAGTACACGAGGTCAGGCAAGACGATACAAACCGCCGGCATTTGTAATATTGGCAAGTAGGTGCTCCTCTGGTAACAGAAGTAACAAAAGTTCCTCTAATGGAATTAGAGTGAATGAGGAGCACGACCCCACACTTACGCTAGGACATAACCTGAATAACGCTTCCCCGGTACTCGGATGATAAAATAATCCAAAACTGGTACCAGTAATGAACCGGCCGCTCCGGTAAACAAGAGAAAACTATTTATAAAAAAACACAAATTCGCTGTGGTACCACAGGAAAATATTGTAGCATATGGTCTAACATAGAATTATAGTGTCATGACCCCCCTGTCATCTTGCCAGATTCCGCCAAAATGAGTAGGTCTATACACACTCATCCCCAACAAAACGAGTTTACTACATGGTAGATGGTATTGACTTATAATAATGCTGAGCAATTAAAAAATAATCGACGAACAGAGTTTGCAAACTCTGAACTCAGACTCAAGCTCCTTGTACATTGTTCAAGAAAGCATCATTACCTTTGACTCAGTGACAAGTGCACTCCCTCATTCCTGACCCGCTGAACAAATCTCTTTCTTGAGCTGTTAGAATGGCAAATGACAAGGCCATGATTTATTTCATCTTTAATAATAATACGATCAACTAGATTAATTCTTTAGAGTTGAATTGATAGCCACCTGATTATCTGCCAAGTGCGAATAGCTACGGGGCAATGTCACTCCAAACCAAGGAGAAATTTGGCATTAACACGTGTAAACGAATAATATCTTACCTTATATTTGCTCCATCAGCGCCTTCCTTTTGATAAGACCTTAATCACGTGAACCCAAATGATTTGAGGAGGCGAATAGTTTAAGATTGGCTTCGACTGAAAGTACCAAAAAATTTCCAATTTCATCCCTCGCTGGTAATACAAATGAAAAACCTAACTTTTCGACTGTATTCCAAGTTTTGAACCCCTAAATCTTCTCTAAACATTTCTGGCCGTCCGATAAACAATATATGATCTCATGACCTAAATACGACAGTGTTCAGTTCTACAATGACACCAAATGTAAACAAATGTCTCACCTGCTTTACCCGCTACCACTGATATTATGTTAATAGTTTTAAATTTAAGCTTTGCTACAACTATCACAACAATTTAACATGATCCAAGAAAATGAAGTCGAGGTCAAATAAGCCGAATGGAAATATATGTACACCTTTCAACCATTCCATACACCAAATATGCATTAAATATAATTGACCTATAGTGCCTGGAAGAAACAAAGTTAACCAGGAAAATTTAACATTGATCAATGAACCCTGAAAATGAGGCCAAGGTCAGGTGAACCCTGCCAGACTGACATGTACACCTTACAATCATAACATGCTTTAAATAAAGTTGACATTTTACATAAAGTATCCAAGAGAAACACTAGACAAGAAAAACTTAAGATTGACCAATGAACCATGAAAATGAGGTCATGGTCAGATGATAATTTCCAGACAGACATATACACCTTACAATCAATCCATACACCAAATATAGTTGACTGTTTGCTAATAATATAAGAAAAACAGACCAAAAAACTAAAATTAACATTTAGCAATGAACCATCAAAATGAGGTCAGGGTCAAATAAAACATGCCCGACTGACATGTAAATCGAAAAATGATTTCATACAAGAAATATAGTTGATCTATTGCATACAGTATAAGAACAGAAAAAAACTTAACTTTAACCACTGAACCATGAAAATGAGGTTAAGGTCAGCTGACACCTGCCAGATGAACATGTACATCTTACAATCATTCCATACACCAAATATAGTAGATCTATTGCTTCTACTATATGAGATATGGACTTAACCACGAAAACTGACGGGCATGAGGACCTTGCAAGGTACGCACATACCTAATAAGAGAAATATTAAGAATACTAAAAATGTTAACTTTTTTTTTATCAAGAAGTCACTGAACCATGAAAATGAGGTCAAGGACAATGAACACATGACAGACGGAAACTTCATAACATAAGGCATCTATATACAAAGTATGAAGGATCCAGGTCTTCTACCTTCCGAAATATTAAGCTCTTAAGATGTAAGCTAAAACCGCAGCTGCCGTCGGATCACTATCCCTATGTCAAGCTTTCTGCGACAAAAGTCGCAGACTCGACAAAAATGTAGTTTTGCTCAAAGTTGATACAAAACATATATAATATATTTTTCATGCTCTTCGTATCTATTATGATTTACCAAATACGAATGTAGCTCGTGTATGACCAGACACCCAACTTTAATTTCTGTATCCGACACCCCATTCTGCTCAAATGCGATACTCCATCTATAATTCTTAACGAATGTGCAAGTGTTTGGTCTTTAACGCCACAAAAAGGAGAGGGGATACGTGACGTATGATTGTGACGTCACACCGTGAAAAGGTCACAGGCACGGACAAGGTTCAGAATACGGAAAGAGAGGGGCTCAAGAACAAATACGGAATTAAATTTTTATTAAACCTGTATTATCAGTAAACTGATAAACATTATTATAATCTCACGTAACTTATCCCTTTTAAACTCAATTATACGTACCAATTATGCTTTTCAACCGCCATTGCATATCTGAAATATGACCAATACGAAATTATTGGGTATGATCTCGGAGTAACTTTCTTATTTTTCAAACAAATCTATGTGTACCTTTTTTCAGGCAATATTCAATGTTGCAATTTTTAACATATCATATCAACTTATAAAATTTCATGATTCTAATATGAGCAAGCTGACCATATAAAAAATTGCAACCTTAAACCTGTACTATCTTTTTGCCTGGATAAGGTGTAATTCCCGTCACTTCAAGGTCAAAGATTGACAGCTGACATTAATGTTTCTAACCGCCAATGAATTGAATGTGATCTAAAATAGTAATGGCGTATGCAAAATACAATTTCAGAAAATCGGGTAAATTCGTAACACTTGATTGAATAAAATTGAGAATGGAAACGGGGAATGGGTCAAAGAGACAACAACCCGACCAAAGAGCAGAAAACAGCCCAAGGCCACAAATGGGTCTTTAACACAGCGAGTAAAATCGCGTACCCGGAGGAGGGCTTCAGCTGGCACCTAAACAAACATGAGTACTAGTTCAGTGAAAATGGACGTCACATTAAACTCCGAAACATATAATTTCTGTGTCATTTGGTCTCTTGTGAAGAGTTGTCTCATTGGCAATCATACCACATCTTCTTTTTTATATATATAAAATTGAGAATGGAAATGGGGAATGTGTCAAAGAGACAACAACCCGACCAAAGAGCAGAAAACAGCCGAAGGCCACCAATGGGTCTTCAATACAGCGAGAAAATCCCGCACCCGGAGGCGTGCTTCAGCTGGCCCCTAAACAAAAATATGTACTAGTTCAGTGATAATGGACGTCATACTAAACTCCGAAATATATAAAAGAAACTAAAATTAAAAATCATACAAGACTAACAAAGGCCAGAGGTTCCTGACTTGGGAAGGGCGTAAAAATCCGGCGGGGTTAAACATGTTTTGTGAGATCTCAACCCTCTCCCTATACCTCTAGCCAATTTGGAATAAACAAACACACGCACAGTAAAACTCAGTTTAAAATAAGTCCGAGTCCGATGTCAGAATAGGTAACAGAAGAAACTAAGCAAAATAACAATAACACACAAATTAACAAAGGACTACAAGCAGTTACTGACATGTCAGCACTCCAGACCCCAATTAAACTGATTGAAAGATTATGTCTTCATCATATGAAAATCAAGCACAGTCCCACCCGTTAGGGGTTTAGTATCCTAACATCGATTGAATGTTTAATTGTAAAATATAATCATTACTAACTTATCTTGCTTGTGGTATGTAAGCAGTGTTAGTGAAATGTTTATATATACAAATTATTATTCTAATATTGTGGAGTAAATATCATAGCAATAATCTATTAATAAAATAAAATAAATATACTTTTCATTTCAAATTTTATATAAATGTTTAATGGCACTTTTTTTAACTTTGATATCAGTGACCAAATTAATGTACAACTGTTTTAACGCATACTATGATATAATTGTTTAAAACGGAATATGCTTAGATACTTTATTGTTTAATGCAGGGCTATTGGTTTCCTAGAAACAAGGGTGTTTATAGTATTTATGTTTGACAGTGGTCATCCCCGTAACATATAGTCGCATATATGATTGCTTAAATGGTAATGATGTTATCGGCAAAATGTACAAAGAATTCAGCAATCCTTGGAAAACTTCGGAACCACTTTCAAATTTTTGTGAAGCATCTTCAATATGATACGGATATGTCTATTCATTGATTTTAACTATTTTCTTCATCAAAGATAATAAATTCATTGCTTTGAAATTAAGATCAAGGCAAAAAACCAACAATTTGTATTTCTGGCATTTTGTTCTATAATTTCCTTTTCTTTTAGAGACCATGGACTCATCAGATAGCATAATCTATAACTTTGACAAAGCGGAAAGAGGCATTGCTTTATTGATACACAATAAAAACTTTGAAAGTGAAGAGCTTGGTACGAGAAATGGAGATGAACTTGATCGCAGACATTTGAAAAAAATCTTCAAGGACTTAGGATTTAAGATCTTATCATTCGAGGATCAAAAGGCAGACAAGATGCTCAAAATAGCAGCAGATAGTAAGGAACATTAATTTCAAGATTATCAAACTTGTGATTATGATAATAAGAAACGTACATATCCAATGACTAATAAAATAAATCTGGATGAACTTTTTTCAATATCTTCATTTTTATGTATATACTACTGTTCATAAATACTCCGTTTTGTGAGCAGACAAGCTTGTTAAAATTCTGCCCGCAGAATATTTGTTACAACACGAGGAAAATGAACGGAAAACCATTACAAAATTAAATGCAATTGTTTAGAAGTTTAGACTATAAAGATTTATTTCAATACTTTAGGTGTATTTCAAGTTAACGAAATTCCAGATAACTGTCCATTCCTTGGAAATGATGACCGTCGGCCCTATAAATCTCCGCTCCATTATTGACCAGGAATGGACAGTTATTTAGATAACTCTATAACGTATGAATGATATTATTTACTGTTAGCAAATTCGTTAAAAAATATTGACTCTCATGGGAAAGTCCTTAGTGCTTGAAATGATCATGCATTGTACATGGTAGTGTCTTTCTGTAATGTTGATGACTTTTCTATACGTTAAACAATTCTTTTTATTGTTTTGTTTGGAAATTAGTTTTTTTTGCCATCTATTTTACTATTATGTATTATTCAAGCACTTAATCTATATCAAATTTGTATTGTAAGTTTTATATGCTTTTCATGTATTTTTGTAAGTGTGTACGCAACCTGCAACGTAATCGTGTGCCGATTATAAGACACCAACCTTGATGTTGTGTTATGTCAACCCTAAATGTTTTGTTATTTCGAGAATTTGGTATTGATTGCAAATCTGTCATTGTGTTTTCACCTAGATATTCTTTTTGATATATGGTAATTTCGTACTATCTTACTGATCAAGATGAAAAGGGTACATGATTAAGATCTATACAAAACTTAGTTTAATAATGTAGAAATTGATATATTGTATACACATCCGTCTATGTATATAGACTTTTTTCATGTATTGTTTTGTAAGTTTGTACGCAACCTGCAAAGTAATCGTGCACCGATTAAGAGACAGGAACCTTGATGTTGTGTTTTGTCAACCCTAAATTTATTGTTATTTCGAGAATTTGGTATTGATTGCAAATCTTTATGTTACCCTTTAGTTGTCTGCACTTATTCGTAGATTTCTTTCTTTCAGTCGCAAAAGAAGGCGTTCACGAAAAATCTGACTGCTTTGTGTGTGTTGTATCCTCTCATGGTAATGAAGAGCAAACTAAGTCAGACACCCACCAATCATCACTTGAGAGAGAACAAGAAATCATGGGTGTGGATGGAAAAGGAATTAAGACCAGTGATTTAGTTGAAATCTTCAGTGACGATAATTGTAAAGGTCTAAGAGGAAAACCAAAATTTTTTTTCATCCAGGTAATAATTACCATTTATGCATTGGATTTTGTCTAAACATTATACCAGTACAGGTTTTGACTGTTAAATTTGTATGGGTTTGTCAAAAAGACGCCACACGCGAAGCAATGCCACTCCCTTACGCCAGCTGCATCAAAATTAAAAATGTAATGTATTATACTACGAATCGAATATTTCATTGTGGATACCCCTTCTCAATTACGTCTTACTCTTATATGATCAGAATTACGTCATATAATCAACGATTAGAAGATAAGAAGATGTGGTATGGTTGCCTTTGATTCAACTTTCCACCAGAGTCCAAATGACGTAGAAGTTAGCGATTGTAGGTCACCATAAGGCCTTCAACAGTAAACAAAACTTGTAGATATAACGTTGCCTGACGTACTGCATTAATAAATGCGCCTGTTTTTACTCTTATAATGACATTTAAAACCGGGATTATCAAATGTATCAAATCTAAATTATGAAGTATTCATTGTTAGAAACACAAGTCTTCATTCTGATATAAATGTAAACTGTTCTTTTCATTTCACAGCCAATCAAGTACATTTTCAACATCTCTGAACAAACCATCGACCTCTTTTTCATGTTTTTTTACAATGATATTTTTAAAATCTTTTAAAATCTTGATTATCAACTGCCTGTGATGATATTGTTTTATAAGCACATAAAAAAGCACATTTCAAGTCTAGTGAAACATTACAGAGTTAATAGAAGTGGTATGGTCATATATACTTGTTAATAAATGTAACTACTAGAGATTTTTACATTCTGCATGCTAATGCATAAGTATAGCAAGTATTATAAATAGTCTATTGTGAAATAAACATACCTTATCATTAAATTTAGCATATGAAAAATGTTAAAGTTCATAGTCACATGGGCTCTCATTATGCATTTAACTGAAATGCAAGTAAACAACTGTATTCAAATGTTAACGGTCGTAAACAAATTATACTTTTCTAGTATGATCTTATTCATATAGCAACATTATACATCTTTTCTTAAATAATTTATTCTTCCACGCACCTCTAGTCCTTATGCTAGTATCTTTTCTGAATTCCAACGTCTATTCTTTCCAATCGGTCTGAAACTAGATTTTTATATCATTCTCAATATGTCTTATTGAATTCTGATGATCGTATATCTGTTGAGTGTCGTATTAGTTTGCTTTAAAATGTCATCTTATTTGTTCATTGTATTACTAGTATATTTATATCAGAGTTTTAATACATTTCCGGATGTAGAATATACGTGTCCACTGTATACATATTCAGGATTTGTCGCCTCACTGTTTTTATCAGGGTTGCAAAATTATATACATAGATTTAAGAAGATGTGGTATGAGTGCCAATGAGACAACTCTCCATCCAAGTCAACATTTTTAAAATAAACCATTATAGGTCAAAGAACGGTCTTCAACACGGAGCCTCGGCTCACACCGAACAGCAAGCTATAAAGGGCCCCAAAAATTACTAGTGTAAAACCATTCAAACGGGAAAACCAACGGTCTAATCTATATAAAAAGCGAGAAACGAGAAACACTTATGAACCACATCAACACACGTCTTGAATTGTCCAAACACTATTTCTCTTCTCTCTTTCCCAGTTGAAGCATCGTTTTATTGGGTGTTTACACCATTGAGGAGCTGTATACAGTAAACTAAACAAAAATGTGATATACATATCATTTTCACATCACGACTCTTAAAATTCAATAAATGTACAGAAATGCCCAATTTTGTTTTACAAAAAAGGAGTGAAATGAAGAGATGCATGTTATTAAAAGCAACGACGACAAAGCCGACTTTGGTTCAATCAATTGCAGTCGACACGAAATTGTGTTATATTATAATTTCCCATGTCTATTTTCACTCGTTGGTCCTCGAGGGTATCATCAGCTCAGTAGTCAATATTTCGATATTGACATGATTAGTTAACATACCTTTCTTAAACTACGAGCACTGAGGTTACAACTCCCTTAGGCAGAGTAGACCGTAGGTTGAGTTTGATAGTCTGTTAATGCCATTTTTAGTCAGAAAGATCCTCAAGTATTGAAATATGTATACGTCCTTGTTTAAAAAAAATTGTAGGTGCTCCTGATAAAGGCATCCAATTACGGACGCAACAAATTATTCAAACGAGTTATTTTCATTTTATAATGCTATCATTGATATATTTGCTTTAATGAAACATTTTGGTATAAAAAAAGAGCCAAACACGACTTTATTAACAAATTGTCGAAAACGGTACTACGTGTAAAAGTAAAATAATAAAAATACTGAACTCCAAGGAAAATTCAAATCGGAAAGTTTCTTTTCAAATGGCAAAATCAAAAGCTCAATCATGAATCATGTTTAAAATAACTATTATAATAGGAATGTATGTTATGCACTTGTTTGTAAAATATTTACTCATTTCAATTTTGCAAAGACATAGCATTTTTGTTTTAAAAACACTGAACAGATTAAATAAAACACAAATGTAGGTTATGCTCAACAATACCAATAAATCCTAATAATAGGCGAGAGACATTTTTCAAAAACATTTAAATGCACCCACCTAACATTCGACTATATTTTATTTAATTCGAAAGCTTATTATCTGTACTTTCTGTTTTGTCCGGTTGTTAATAATTCGTATGGTGCAATTTCCGTTAAATTAAGATCAAAGGTCAAGATCGAACATTCCTAAATTAAACCAAATAGCCTTTTTTAGTTCTATTTTTTTCTTTCAAATATCATATGAACCTTATAGAACAGAATACAGAAATTCCATAACATTTGCAAAGTAAATTGTTAAATTTTGCATTATTTCAGATTAACATTGCAATTCTAAACAAAACCTCCAAAATAATACGATTGCTCTTAAAGCAAAATATTTCTTGAGGTATCAATATTTATGTGTCAAAAATAAAAATGAATTTATCTTTTATAGGTTTAGGAATTTTTGTCATTATTTATTAATACGATTAATATACAATGGCCAGGAATCAGCGGTCTAATGAATCTTTTACAGTTGCCCAAAATTCCGTCATCTGTAAATAGAGATTATTTGGCTTTTTTATGTTTACATAACATATCGATTGTGGTCAATTAATTATGAAATACTTTGCCATAACTAAATATAGAGTAACAAAAATGTGTAAAGGAATATACGAGCTATTTGCTGTAAAATTATTATTTTTTGAAGTCGAATTTTTTCATCTTAGGAGTCAAGATGAAATGCCAACAAGACTGTGCTCCGAAATCGGTGGCATAATTTAAATTAATAAGTTAAGATTGGTAGAATATTGACCATTTTTTGCATTACACCAATGGATTAGAAATTATGATACTACCGTTTTTACTTTAAAAAGTGGTAGACATGTTTAAAAGTATATTCTTGTTCAATATTCAAATAAATACTGTTTTAACCATCGGCCTATTTTGTTATGTTAGCACATTACTACGTAGTTGTTTTAATTATATGACTGAAAATTGATATTGAGAAAGATTGGTGCCTTTCATGAACACGTGAGATCACCGCCGCTTTTAGGTAGTCTTTGCTTTTACATTTATGAGGACTCTTAATATTAAATATTATTTTAATATGAGAATTTTTTGAAATTTAACTTTTCATTTCTTAATTTACTGTGTAATTATCTATTTATTTTTTAAGGTTCATTTGTTTGGCCGACTTTAGAGTTTTTATACGCTGGCAATAACAATATATATTGAAATATCCAAGTTTCGTTCCATACATTCCTACTAAAAGCTTCTATCTCGTTTGTATTAATTCCTTTTAACTTTTTCTCATTTTTAAGAACTATTTCTTTCAACTTAAATTGACTCGATATATTTTTTTTTAGTTGACCATCCAAAAACGTCTTGCAGTTGGCGGTATTTTAGGCAACTTTAAGAATTCGTATGATTGGCAGTTACATTAGTAATCAGCGTGATTGTAGTCATTTATTATGTCAAAAACTTTCATAGCACTATACAAAATATTTTATTTGGTTTTATTGTGATAAATCAGTTGAATCACAAAATGATATTTTGGTTTACTCTCATTTTTTCATTTTCGTTTGAATTTCTGGAAAGGCGCTACTTTTTTTTTAAATACGTTTGATTAGTGACTGTCAACCTCTGTTCAAATTTGTCCTTATTTCCATACATTATTTATTAAATTAGAAGACATTGTATACAAAAAAATATTAACAACTTTATGACTGAAATTGCACCGTACGAATAATTGAAGACCGAAAATATACTCTTGTTTCAAAATATTCAAGGCGACTGTATCGTAAAAATGTGTGCGGTATACAAATAACAAATTCAACTTCAACTGGTTTCAGATTCGGAAATATTTTTTTTTTCGTTTTTCACAATTTGAAGTAAAATAAAATAATAAGTAAATAGAAAAGACATATATACAACCAATTATTCATATTAAACCTTACAAACATGTATTACTGCGCCACATTCTTTATGGGTCTGTCCGAAGTCTGAAAACTGTATTCTACTTGTGGTCGATGGTTGCTGTTTGTTATAAGTGTTTTTCATTTGTTATTTTATCATTTATCTGGCCGTTGATTTTCTCTATTAGTTATTTTAATTTGGTATCCTGGGGTCTATTATGGCTCACTTAACGGAATAGATTGTAGGAGGAGGGACGATAAACTGTAGATATTCACATCCTTGTTCTTTTGTCTTAAATAGTTGACAAATTGACATTTATACCACAACTCCTTCTTCTAAACATAACGTATTTGTTTTTTAAGGTGTATAAATTGGTCCCACTGTTTAAAACCCTAATATATTTATTTCATTCAGTTAAGTAAATGACCAAGTTGACTGCTGAAATTCAAAATAACATTTTCATAAATGACATATTCATCAATAGATAATGTATAGAAAAATCATAGAAAAACAAGGAGGCGTATGAAAGAATTTTGTGCGGGACAAAGACATCTCTGGATTTTAGAAATAGATGGCATTTTCAAAATATTTTGCAAAAAGAGTATCTTTTATATACAAAACTTGAATGAAATATAAGTGATGGCCTGAAATAATACAAATAACTTTCTATATGTTTAGGCTTGTAGGATCTCAGGAGACAGGAAAATGGATGAAGGCTATCCAGAACAAAATATGATGCTAAAGACAGAAATACACAAACAAGACAAAACGGATGCTACAGTCATAGGTGATTTTCACAAGCTATCTACTTTAAAACCTAAATATTAACTTTTCAAATTTTACCTAATATGGAGATTAATTGGTTTCACTTTGGATGCCATGTGCTACCCAATTTCTGTTAAAACATTTTACTTTCAGATTGAAAATTTTAATAAAATATATATAATTAATATCAAAGATAATTAAATAAAAAAATCGGATTTTTTTTTTTGTAAAATTTATTCAAATTAAAGCAAATTACGATCACACTTTTAGCAAGAAGCGCTTCACGGTTTATTCAAAATGAATCTTCACTTTGTTTCATTTTAAATGAATAAAAAAAAAAAGCAGCCTGCAATTTATAATGTAATGAGAAAAAGGAAGGATTTAATTCTCGTAATTACTTGCTTTTTTAATGTTTCTTCGAATTGTTGCAATGTGGCCATATAGAACAGTCGTCTTGAATGTTGCGCTGTATTTGGCAATAAAACCGATTTAAAATACTAAGTACATGTGGTGTTGTTTGCCATTAATAATAATGGAATGTAATTATTTTGTTGTGAAACAGCAAAACAGCAAAACTAACACCTTACATGCAGTGTAATTACATTGCAATACTCGATCTTCTTAGACGCTAATGGAATACATACGCTTGTTTTATCATATCTATTTCAGTTCCGTTATTTTATTAGTCCCCTACCGATGAAGTCGAAGGGGACTTTAGGTTTGCACTCCGTCCGTCCGTCTGTCTGTCTGTCTGTCTGTCTGTCTGTCTGTCCGTCTGTCTGTCTGTCTGTCCATCTGTCAGTCCGGCAAATCAGATTTCCAGACTTTTTTTCTTCATGCTTGAAGATATTGATTTGATATTTGGTTTATTAATTTATCATGACAAGTTACAGGTCAAGTTAAATTTTCACGATTTTAGCCTTTCTCTTTGTTCAGTTAAAGCCCTTTCCCTAGATTTATATTTTGTATGAAATACTTATTAATTAGTAGATTTCTGTTCAAAGGGAAATAACTAATTTTTTAAAAGAATTTTAAAAGACAAAATGATATTTTGGATTTTTTTCCTTTTCTTTGGTAAATTGTTTGAAGAATTTAGTGGTAGGTTTGTTTGTCATTCTTTAAGATATTGATTTGATAATTAGTATATAGTTTTATCATGACAAGATACAGATCAAGTTGGAATTTTGTTCCAGTCTGATAATTTTGTGCAGAGTTATGGTCTTTGGACATATAGAAAATTCACTTAAATAATCAGTTTTCAACAGTTTTTTCGTCATGCTTGAAGATTTTGACTTGATATTTTTATGTAGTTTACATCATGACAAGTTATAGATTAAGTTAGAATTTCGTTCCATTGCAATGAATTTGTAACCGGTAGGGGACTATGTATTGCCATGCAATACTCACAGAATGCTTGTTTCAGATTTTCTGTAGCTGTATTGTGTGTTTCTTTAGTTTAAAGCATACTGTTAAAGGCCCATGTGTTGACTTGAATATGTAGTTTTATTCCTAACGTGTTGTTTATGTCTGATTAAGTACAGCATACAATATTTTTTTTTCATTATTAATGTATGGAATATAATCCGACGTCTAATGTAAGAGTTGTGTTGGAAATAACTACAAATGGTAAGAAAAAATATACCATATTAATAAACGTTTATAGTGTTCTATGGAACGCCACAGCTGTCTTATGTGGAACTCTGATATTACTTTATGTTGTTTTATTATTACTTGATGATATTTTGTCTTTACTTAATATGGTTTTGACATTACGTAATGATGTTTTGATATAACTCAATATGGAATAGTCATTACTTAATGATATTTCGATATTACACGATATGGTTTCGTATTGATTTGATGTAGTTTTGTCATTACTCAATATGGTTTTGTCATTACTCGATGTGGTTTCACCATTATTTAATGTGGTTGTGTCATTAGTCAATGTGGTTTTAACATTACTTGATGTGAATGTGACTTAACGTTATGTAGTTGTCTCATTACATGATGTGGTTTTGTTATTTTGTAATGATGATTTGCCTATTCTTTATATGGTTTTAACATTACGTAATGATGTTTCAAAATTTGACGATTTTACACTACATGATGTGTTTGTTTCATTATTTGATGTGGTCCTGTCATTCTTTGATGTGGTTATCCCATTACTTGATGAGGTAAAATCACGTGACCAATTCGGAAAAACCTGTTCTATTTTAAGATAGATTTCCATGTTGTATATGTGCCTTGGATGAGTGTGGCCATCCATCGAATTAGAGTTCAAATTAAAGTTCGGGTTACTGTTTGAGTTATACTTTGAGTTAGTCTTCGATTTCGAATTCAAGTCATTATTAGAATTAAAGTTTTAGTAAGCATTGAGTTTCGAGTTGAACTTCGAGTTTGAGTCACATTTAAAGGTATAGTTCTAGTTACAACATTAAATTTGAGTCACTTTTTGAGTTTGAGTAAGATTCGAATTTAAGTCTCATTCAGATTAATTAAGATTTTGAGTTGAAATTCGAGCTATCTTATATGAGTTCGTAATTAAATTTTCTATCGCGGAACAAGGACTTTTGCTCGGGCTTCCAAAAAAAGGGCTCCTGGGTATGCGTACAAAAGATAAACAATGTTACAGTATACAAAACGCAACATACATGTAGAAGTTGAAATAAAGTTAGATGTGGTGTGATTGACAATGAGACAACTATCCACCAGAGTTTAAATGCAGTGGGTGTAAGAAATCATATATAGGCAACCGTACAGCCTTCAACACACCGTATAGTCAGGTCAGCTACAAAAGGCCACCATGCACCATGTGAAAAAATTCAAACGACAAAACAAACGGTCTTATTTATATTTAAACAATCTACAAAAAAAAAAAAATGACACACATTTATACAACGACAACAATTGAATTTCATGCTCCTGACTTGGGCAGGTACATAAAGAGAGTGCACGTGGCGGAGTTTAAGTTCAATTATCTCCCAAAAGAGCAAATGATAATAAAAATAAAAACCCTGACCACATGTACACCTTCAATAATTGTACAAACAGCCAGTAAAGAGAAAACTTCCTAGGATTCAAACTGTAGGAGGAGTTATGCGGAATAACTATATATCTATAACGGGACGGACAGACGGACGGACAGGGGTAAAACAATATGACCCCAACTTCCAGTTGCGGCGGCATACAAAACAGTTTCATTTGGCTGACTCAATAGATCGGTATGACTGGGTAATATAAATCCATCGGGGTGATCTCAGATGCTCCAGAAAGGCACCCGTCGTGTTATTCGAGAAAGTACAAACCCAGTGATTTGGTTTTATTTGGTAGTTCACATTCAAGGAAAAGATGACGGTATTATGGTTACGACCACTGGAACATGTCCGTCGTCACATGTGAAACAGATATTCCAAAAAGTTTATTTTTCAATTAGTGCGAGGTAGATCAGGGAATTCATTTGATTTCAATTGATTACAAATAAAAGATTGATATTCATATCAGTTCGCTAAAAAAAAAATCGGAGAATTCTTATTTTATAGTATTTATGCTTTGTCGCTAAGTCCGAGCCCCCCCCCCCTCTCCCCCCGTTTCCCTGTAACTTTAGTGTGAGTTGATTTGAAGTGTTTCATTTGTTAACAATAAAGTTCAAGTCTGTTGATTTGTGTCGAGCCTGCGACACCAATGTAGCGGCAGTGAGACACAACAAACCTATAGTTCTTCGTCGGTAGTGGCGTCGGCGTCTCCATGTCCATTTAAAAAAAATTCTATTGAGTTAAACCTTTCATTATACATGTCACTAAACATGTATGCCATCATAATTTTGTACTTTTAGAATATCATACTGTATTTGTTTACCTCAACTATTGTATCTGTATTTGTATTGTATGTTTCTCTGTAAACTTGTAATTAGTTTTTAGAGAATAAAGTATCTATCTATCTATCTATCTATAGATCGTTAGGTTTCTAGTTTTTTTACATTTTTCATTTCGGGATCTTTTATAGCTTACTATAGGGTATAGGTTTTGCTTATTGTTGAAAACCATACAGTTTTGTTTTACTTTAATAAAACCGAATTAAACTGTTTTGACATGATAAATTTGTAAACCTCCATGAAGTGTTTTGAAACTTGTATAGGAGTTATTCCTCAATTTCAAGAAAAAGCATCTACAGAAAAACATTTTTTTTTAATTTTGTTTTTACCGATAAATGTATAGATAAATGTACAGCCGATCGACATGACGCTTTTACACTTACAGCAGCAATATCAGGCGAGACACAGGGTTCCGTGGAATATTTTACAAATTTATTACAGAAATACTGCTTCCGTTTGAGAACTTAGGATAAAAACAACAAGACCAAGTGGTTAGGGGATATCCCAATTATGTCCGAATAATTGTAAACTTTTTTAATACTTTTTTTCTTATTATTATCCGCCGTTCCCCTTTTTCATACCAAATAACTCTGAACAACCACTCGAACTTTAATTTGAACTTTAACTCAATGGATGATATATTGAAATCTGTTTAAAAATAGAACATATTTTTTTCCGAATTGGTCACGTGATTTTACCTCATCAAGTAATGGGATAACCACATCAAAGAATGACAGGACCACATCAAATAATGAAACAAACACATCATGTAGTGTAAAATCGTCAAATTTTGAAACATCATTACGTAATGTTAAAACCATATAAAGAATAGGCAAATCATCATTACAAAATAACAAAACCACATCATGCACTGAAACAACTACATAACGTTAAGTCACATTCACATCAAGTAATGTTAAAACCACATTGACTAATGACACAACCACATTAAATAATGGTGAAACCACATCGAGTAATGACAAAACCATATTGAGTAATGACAAAACTACATCAAGTCAATACGAAACCATATCGTGTAATATCGAAATATCATTAAGTAATGACTATTCCATATTGAGTTATATCAAAACATCATTACGTAATGTCAAAACCATATTAAGTAAAGACAAAATATCATCAAGTAATAATAAAACAACATAAAGTAATATCAGAGTTCCACATAAGACAGCTGTGGCGTTCCATAGTGTTCAGTGATTGAATGAAGCTTATGTAAAGTTTGTGAGAAAAATGGTCACATCAAACATCAATAAACATAAAAAACGACTGATAGATACAAATAGAACATATAACTTATTAATAACAAAAATTTAAGAATCATCAGAGGTATCGAAAGAATGGAAGAATCTTGTCTATGAAATGTTCCTTCACTTTCGACATTCCATTTTCCCTTGATTGAAAAAGGTAGAGTGGATTCTAGACAGGACGTGTATATGTATATATTTCAATTTAAGTTTAAATGAAAGCAGTATAAACTAGTTTTGAGTAGGGTAGGGAACCAGAAATAGTCTTTAGACAATAATTTTTGTGTTTATCAAAATCTGTTTGAGGAGCAAGTAGATTAATATTCTCACTCAATATTTTAGGGGTTTTGGCAAAAATATAGTATTTCGAGTCTCTTAACAACAATTAAAATGAGAGAGGCACATAACCACCGAGAAGGAGGACAATTACCTCCCGCTGCACCAACTATTTGTTCTATTAACACATAGGTTTTGGATAATAGCTATGCTGCAGACATAATTCATGAGGGTAAACTATTTTAACCTGTAGTCTTACCCACTTCTTGGCAATGAAACGGAAAAGAGATTAGGCCAGGATAATTGGAATAATTTTAAAAAATGAAATCATAGTAGATAGAATTCCTTCATAAAGAGAGTACTAAAAATTCAGACCAACACATTGGGTGCCTTTTTCAATTCAGGATATAATAACCATATGTTGTTCGTTGTTGTTCGTCTATTTGTCGGAGGAGTGGGGTGTTGGTGGTTGGTTTGATCTGTTGTACTATTACCTATGTTTGGTAATTCCTGTTATCCTTTATATATGTTATTGAATTGTTGACAAACGTAATAATCAAACCAATACTTATGTTTATAAAATTTCGTCCACCATAGGATTATATTTAAGTGCAATATACATGATAAAATATAAGAGTAAGATGCATAATTAACTAAATAGTTATTTTTTTAATTATAGACGACCCTGTCAATCATGAAAAAGAATCAGCTGATGAAATCTACGAGGAGATTGATACTTCAGATACAGACGATGATGATGAATTAACATACTTAAAAGACAAATATCAAAGTAAGTCTAAAAAGTTGTCACATTGATATCTGTACTGAAAGTAATACACAAGACGAATGGGGCATATATTTTATCCCCAAAACAAATACAAAAAAGTCTGCCGAAATTTGACTTTGTATTATCCAATTAAGAATATTCATATGAATCTGAACATATTTTTTTAAAATGTGTGCTTTTCAATTATTCATCGATACTAGATTGGTAAAACTATTTATTAAATTGTTGTGTACCTAATCATTTAGATAAAAAACATGTTCTCCTTTAAATAGTTTTTTTAAAGCATCTAAGCAGAGTTTGGTGTTACAGAAAATTAATATTTGAATGATTTACGTTACAGAAAAGGAAAAGCAAATACATACCGCTTCATCTTTAACCAATCCCACAGTACTCCAATCAGAAGGCACACACAGAGAAGAAATAGACGCCAAAGGGTCTAAACCTGACGAAGATGTTCCTATGATAACAATGGTTCCTTGTCCAGAAAACACTTTAATCATGTTTGCAGCGCTTTCCGGTAAGTTTATAGAAAACGATCAATAAATTAAGGCAACAATAGTTTACCGATCTTCAAATCCCGTAATGGATTAACTAGGAAGAGACAAATCAAGGTGACAAACAGAACCCGAGGGAATCGCATGAACTCTAAAAATAGGAAGACCGGGAGCGTCGATTCATGCATCACCTGCCATGCGAGTTCACACTCAGTCAAAATGTCACAATCAGGAATAGGACACACTAGGAAAAATTACAAATCAGAAGACTATATCGGTATCTAAAAATCTAAGATCACGAAAAGATGTCGGTAGTGAGTTTAGACAACGGCACATCGTATCGGTCAACCAATTCGTAATGCTAACAGTAAAACTTATGTAGTGTCAAACAAAAACTGAGGGAATCGCGTGAACATCAAAATGTGCGAGACCGAGTTAATCGACAAGGTAAGCGTCTACTGATTTGCATGCATCACCCGCCTGAGGTTACGGTTTATATATACAATGCGAGTTTTCTAGGTGTAATTTCACGTAAGCAAAACACATGTTACAGTTTGTTTTGATTAAGAACATATATATTATCTCCTCCGTTCCAAAATTTTGAGTTATATAAACCTTAACGAATAATTTGTTAAAATCAAAGTTTCATATGAGGTAGCTGGTTTTATTACCAATCTTTATTTTCCCTGTTGAACGAGCTCAACTAATATTTTCTATAATTTCTAATTAATAACTGAAAACGTCGTCATATTGGTCTCTAATGTACAGGTGTATTGTACAAACAGTCCTGTACAGAGGGAGTTTAACTTTTTTTAATCAGAATAGTCATTCAACTGTCACCTACAATATTGTTGAAATGCATTGACTCAAATATCTATTACTTTAAGACATCTTGTGCAACGTTTTTTCTATTAATTGAACAAAGCGTATAATTTAATTGTCTGCGTTCTTATTCAGTTATTAAAAAAGTCAGTATTTAAAAAACAATTTGGTGACAGTGTTTTACCGATGTTAAAATCTCGTAAATCGATTAGGAATAGACAAGTCTAAACAAGGAATTTGTATTAACGATTAACATGTTTGTAGAAAGGGCTCTGTTTAATGAGATGAGGTCGTCGATCTTTCATTTGAGTATGAGGAATAGAAGTGTACAGCGTAGGAAAATCAAAGTTTTGGGTATATGCTGCAAAAGTGTAAAGATTGTGTTTGAATATTTTGATGTAGATCTTTTTATTCGCTGTCAATTTTAAATTGTTAGGTTAGACGTTCCAAATAATAATTTGTTCATGTTTGCTAGAATAAAAACATTATTTCGTGAAAGGGATGATAAATCATCGGAAACGTAAGGCATAAATCCTTGAAAGGGTATGAAGCCCGTGTGCTCAATGTACATCTTTGATTGTGAATGCGCTTCTGAATGCATGACCGAACAGTTTTGATCCATTCAGATAAAGTGGCTAGTTTTGGTTCATCTGGATTGCGAGTTACCCATTGTCTGGCATGGTCCTCATCGGCTTTCGTCAGTTGATAGGTTGGGAAATTCGATATTTCGGGCCTATGGCTAACAACTCTCTAAGTTGTTCATTGTTTATGATGACTAGGTCTCCAGTTATAACACGACTAAATTTGTTTTGCGAAGATGAACAAACATTTGTTTTAAATTTTTGAACTATAATAAACAAAATGAACAAAATATTAAAGTTGAAGAGAAAATTGTTTGCCCCGAGAAAAAAATCCCATAACCCGGCAAACATGCGAAAATGTGAATGATATAACATTACACTGGAACAAAACTCAGAATAACGTACTATAATAGTCCATTTGAGTTCTACAAATTTTAAATCAAGTAATTATCATGCTTTCCTCGATAGAGGTTTGATTCTTACGGGTGCCACGTGTGGAGCAGGATTTGCTTACCTTTCCGGAGCACCTGAGATCACCCCCAGTTTTTGGTGGGGTTCGTGTTGCTTAGTCTTTAGTTTTCTAAGTTGTGTCTTGTGTTCTATTATTTGTCTGTTTGTCTTTTTCTTTGTAAGCCATGGCGTTGTCAGTTTATTTTCGATCTATGAATTTGACTGTTCCTCTGGTATCTTTCGCCCCTCTTTTACAAATAAGCTGTTAAAGAAAGAGTTCCAATCGGTGAAGTTGAAATCATTCCTTCCTTAATTTTACGGACGCCATCACGAGTTAGTTGACCTTTATGGAATATCTGTTTCACAGATGACGACGGATATGTTCCAATAGTCGTTACCACAATCCCGTCCTCTTTTCCTCGAATGTGACCTACCGAATAAGACTTATCACCGGATTTGTACTTCTATGAGCAAGACGACATGATTAGCATGTTTTGCTAACCCTTCCGGAGCACCTGAGATTACCCCCAGTTTTTGGTGGGGTTCGTTTTGTTCAGTCTTTAGTTTTTTTGTTGTGTTGTGTTTTGTTTACTGTTTGTCTTTTCGTCGTTTTCGTTTTTTTTTTCTGCCATGGCATTGTCAGTTTGTTTTCGACTGGTGAGTTTGAATATCACTTTGGTATCTTTCGCCTCTTTTTTGTGAAAAGTCAGATTATCACAGGAACAAAATGTTTTTATAAATCAATATTGCTTTTGATTTCTTACTAATATTCATTTAAATCGAATAGGTTGTTTTTGTCATTCCCCTTTTAAAAACAAACATCAAAATTAATCCATTCATAAAATAAATAAAAATTTCGGATGCAGATTGCAAATTTAGACTTTTTCGAAAACATTTTCTTCACAACTCAAACTCCCTATTAATCTGGAATTTTTTATTGCGTCCCATTTCATTTTTTTAAATAGTGGGATGTATTGTAATGTAGGAAATACGAATATGTATGTAGTTTAAATCCTTTAAAAACATAAAATGATACTACAGAAAAAATAAATAACTTAAAGATGTTGCACCGAGAAAGAAAAAAAAAAAAAAACAAACGATAGCGTAGATGTATTGGTAATTTATATGCTCATATCTTATTATTTGTAACCATATTTTTCATCTTTTGAAAATAAATCTATAAAATTTCTGAAAGCAGAAAGGTTTGCTGGTGTTCGGATTGTTAATTAATATTCTGATCCCATTCTTTTCAACAAACAGATAGGATTTCAAAACCTTTTTATCTCTATATAAATAAAAGGAAAATCGGCAGAACATAATCTAATGTCAATTTCCTGCTATTTATGTACATTAAAAGGGTATGTAGGTTGTGATGCAGCAACACAGTGACACAAAAAACCAAAGGACATCGGCATTCTTCTTTGATGTAAATATGTATCACTTTATTCGGAAATAGTTTTAAATTTGTCTTTTTCAGGAAATTATGCGGTGCGATCATCAGTAAAAGGAGGATGGATGCTAAATGAGTTGTACAAGTGTTTAGCAAAATATGCAAAAGATGGAAACAAGCTGGAGAGAATAAATTTTTTGGAGATTTTAACAGAAGTTTTAGCAGGCATTAGTGAACACACATTTAACCCTCCTGAAGATAGTCACGAGTATTTTTTAAAGGGTCACTTCTCACCTGGTTGCTTTACTCATTGTCTAAATAAAGAAGTTTACTTTAAGAAGAAAAGTTCGTTACGTAAAATTAAACAAGTCATATTCGACGCATTGAATAAAGTCACAGAAATGTTTTTTTAAGATATAAACAATATATTGAGTTTCATTTGGCGGCATGTCTAAATATTTATGCATACTATATATATATTGGTCAATAAATTCTACTCAAATCTTTATATCAGTCCTGACGAGTTGAACATTGCTAGTAAACAGAATATATGGCATATTAGAATCAAGACGATATAGATCTACAAATAAATGATGAATATTGAGAAAATAGTCAAATAGGAGTTCTAACTCGCTAAGGCAAAGTTGACTTACATGGATTTGGCTATTATTGTTGGTCCCTTTTGGTCATATAGCTTTTCATATGTTTCGGATTTTATACATACTTAGCTTTCACATATATGGTTTGAGCGTATCTGTTAAGGATAAATCCAGAAAAGCGCTTCTGACGCATAACATTTATAAAGCTTTATTTGAATTTTTTTTCATGACTTCATGGTTATTTGGGGATCCAGACAAGTTCTGTCTTAAAGCACCTGTTGCATGTTCAATACTCTGTTCAACCAATATACTATCTTTATTTTAGAGTTAATTTCTTTTCCTATATACTGAATATGTACCTTTTGTTATTGCAATGACCGATATAAGAAATGTGAAGTTTGAGGTTTAACCCAACATATGTTCATGTGGCTTTGTAAAGTTAGGACTCACGTCACTAGTTGTTTGTTAATTCTAAAATAAAAATTGTCATTGTGAGGACTTGGTATTGGTGGCAGATATTTCATAGTCCCGATAAATTTATGAACAATTTTGATTACTCTTGGAGAACTTGAGATTTACATGCTGTGTAGACATCTATCTTTCAAGACAACACGTTCTCCTCTTCTCTCTCATGTGACATGTGGTTTGTGTCTTTTTGACTTATACCACATATCTCTAATTGTTTACCCCCGCAAGGGACATCCAGTCTGATTGAGAACGTTATATACGCTGTCACACGACGGAAAAGCTGAAAGCCATTTGTACGCTTATGGACCCTTGTAAAAACGATTTGAAGGGTCCGTATGTGATTTGAGGCAAACGTTCTGCTTTCATTCAATTGCTTTGCAATGCCTACCTATTTGTTTTATTGTAAATTGTTCTCGTCCTGAGTATGCTTTCAATATTTTTCAATGACCTTTAAACAAATAACAACAAATAACAACAACAATCTTACTGTTCATACACCATCAACCATCAACCCTCTGAGCAACCGTAATTTACATGAAGAGTCATCAGCGTGTTCAAAAGGTAGGTAATTATAAAAAATATACTTGTATGCAAAGATCGTATGTTGACGTCTATAAATTAAATGTCTTTAGGATTTTTGGGTCGTTGGTTACGATTGGTATCTTCTTTCTATTAACAGATAAGCCATACGGCAACTATAACTATTTGCTTGGCTAAAAGTGAACAAATATTTTCTGCCAAATATAATTTACTGGTAGCTATAATTGAATCTATGAACACATCAGTTTTTTTCTAACCCCGACTCTCTTTTAACTGCTTTACATGTTTTTGTGATTGATGTCTGACTCTGATTTGACATTAACGTTTCAATAAAGAAAGGTTTAATAAATGTTTCGTGAACTAAAGGCATTGGTGAGTAAGGTCACGGAATGATATCCCCATACCTTGCAAAGTCCATCCGTTGGTTATTTAATTCCCACATAGATATGTAATAGAAATCAAAAACAAAATAAAAGATGCACAATGGCATGAAATTGCGAAGAATCTGTGAAAATTTCATCAACTTCCAATTAGTGTCTTAGCAGATGAAAGGAATATACATGTGTACTTAAGTGTAAATATTATTATTTTTAAAGGAAACCGTAAAATGATTTTGATCAAACACAAAATAGTAGGTTAACAATGGCATTATATTGTTGAGGTTGTGATAAAGTTTCAACACATTATAATAAGGAGTAAACAAGGAGTTCCGGATACAAACTGCCCCCACTAAAGTAATAGCAAGGACCGTGGTTTGGTAAGGGAACCCTAAAAACAAATCAGACCAAGACACAATAAGTGGTGCACAAGTGCTTTTCTTATATGGTAAAGATTATCTTTGTAGTCTCGTACTTAAACAATATTGCCACGTTTATTACTATTATACATGAAGGGCATTTAATGTTCAAAATATCAACTATAGAACTGTAAAAATGTCTTCCTATAGTCGGTTATTCGTGAATGGAACAGGCTTCCACCAGAACCTTTTAGAAAAAAGTGTATTCAAATGTCGATAAGTTTACCGTGGTCGTATCTACATTCACGGGCTCGGTATAGTAGGTACTTTAATCATATAATCCAATGTCAACATATATCGTTCCAGGATGTAGCTGTTTGATATAAAACACGATAAAAGAACAACATGAACCAAAGTGTATTTATCACTGAAATTTTATTATCCCCAAAACGTTGAAAATTCTTTATTTGCATTCTTTCGCGAAGAGGGCCAAAGTTAAATAATTTCGTGTCGTGTATCATGATGTTGGAAGATCTTTATTTTTTGGCTGGGATAAACAAATACAGGAAATGTGTCATTTTTTTGTTGGGAAATCGATTAATTTGTAATTGTTAGGAGACGCAAGCTTTTTCTTACTACTCATGTCATAAATCTCATTCGGCTAAAAAAAATATATACTTGCATAACACTGATGTGTAGTTTGTTATATAAGTTTATTAAAAAACCAAGAATGAATATGATGTTTAAAAATGGCAGATGACCAAAAAGGAATTGTGTGGTGACAAAGTGATCAATTCGAACCAGTAACACAGCAACACAACATAACCAAAAGACATCAAGTGGGAAAAATGCAGTCGTCAACAATATACAGGTGCCAAGCTTCAATTGTTCCGAGTCTCTGAAAGTAGTAAATAAATTCACCAAAAACAATAACAGATCGTTCACTTAAACAGTGAACGTGTTTTTCTTTCTTGAAAGCTGTTACGTTTTGCAAGACTTCACGCAAAACAAAAATAAAAAAAACTCATTTCAGATACCAGGCTTATAATTTTGTACACCAGAGGCTCGTTTCGTCTGCAAAAGAATAAAAAAAACATGGTCAAATAAAGAACGAATAACAGACATGGCCTACATAAACGGATAATTTTTACATACTTTCTAATTGTCATTGAAAATACATTTGAGCTTTTTCACATAGGCGTAAAGTCTGAAATTTAATAGATGCGGTTTAACAATAATTTTTAAACAGTCATTTTTTTTTAATGTAATGCAACTAACTTCCTTAGTTTGAATTTTGAAAAAAGTAACGCAATTGAAAAAAAAATATCGATAATATGTTTTCTGGCCAATAGTTTATACTTAATTGTATGTCAAAACACGTAAAAAGTAATAATATTTTACTGCACCAAGTCAGGAATATAATAGTTGTTTTCCATTCGTTCGGTTGGTAGATATAGTCGAGCTTTACATTTTGTGCAGTTTTATGGTCTTCCATCTTTTTGAATTTTCCTTAGAGTTCGGTATTTTTGTTAATTGTTTTTATAGTACAAGAGAAAGAAGTAGGACTAGAAGTCTCATTTGTCGGCCAAATTAGGGTCTGATTTTAAAGTATTCTTGAATAATGTAACTTTGCACTAACATGATAAAGGATAAACAAATGATAAAGTAGTCAAAAAACAAAATTTCTAAATTCTAATTTGACAATATACCATAGCAACAAACAATGAGTCTAAAATGTTTGTATCGACGTCTTTGGTCCTTTAGATTGAAAGTATTGGCACCAAAAATTAACATCTTAATTTTTGGATAGAATATGTAAATAGCTATAGTAAAGTTTCTCCAAAATTTCGTTAATATTTTGAAATAGGTCGAAGCCTTCCTGTAAAAATCAAATAAGAGTCAAATAGAACTGAATTAGTTATGAATATATATTCATATACAAAAACGAACGAGCGTAAGACAAATGTCTGATGATAATAAACATATTTAACAACTTGCATACCCATTAAAAATAAATAAGTAAGCCATAATATAAGACTCGTTTGTGCTGTATAAAATAGGGAGATTTTCTAGCAGAAAAATTACCAATGAAACACCATTCCAACATACCCATAGAACAAAGACAAATGTTTTAAACAAAAAAAGTCAGCGGTGACTTTATCATATTTATCCTTATTACTACTTGAGTGTTTTCTTCCTTTAAATATTGGTTGTTCCTTACTGATAGTTTGATAATTCTTGCAATCTGAACCTAGAAATAAAGTACATTCAAATTGACATTTAAGGACATGTACTACTCATTTACTTGAAGCATTTGCAATAATGAAATAAATAATAACAATAATGATAATAACAATGATAATACTATTATTGGGTAATCTTTACTGATACCTTAATAATTCCTACAATCTGAACGAAAATATTAGATAATAAGAATAAAATACATTCAGTTTGAAGATGCATTAATTACCAATAATGATAATAATAATTATATTGCTTATTATTATCATTTTTGTTAATTTATGCATCTTCAAACTGAATGTATTTTATTCTTATTAAAAAAATAAAAGTAAAATGTATGTGTTTAGCGTTTCTTGCCAAGTAATTCTAGTATCGGTAGATCGTTTTTTTTTTATCTGTCTGTTTAGTCACACTCTTGAAAATATCGTTGGATTCTTCCATGCGGCTTCATTTTAGTATGTGCAAACAATTATCAAGTTCAAAGAACTAAAATGATTTTTATCGATTAAAGTCTAGTGTAGTCGTATAACATGTATAAGATACAATCTCGGGGGTGATATTTTCTTTTTCCGTTTGCTTTCTCATATTTACTTTTTACTTATTTTGCTATTTTTATATTATGTTTTTTTATTTGCTATTTTTGCTCTCAATGTTCCGCTCTAGAAAGCCCAAAAAATTAGAATATTAGCAAGAGAACGTTTAAAATGGAATAATAATGCCATGCTATATAGAACTGTTCGGGATTCTTTACACAAAAGAATATATATCAAGATGATAATTGTTCGTATTAGATTTCTCCAAACTGTTCATATCTTAAGGTATTTTTCTCGTATTTTTTAATGTGCCTTAGAACATAAATTGTTTACATGAAAAAAATACAACGTTGTTTTTTCTAGATAACTCAATGTTATTGCATGAACATTTATAATTCTTTCAAACGGAACTTTTTTATATGATTATTAAGATCGCATTTAAAAAGAATGATGTTAAACTTGTATGCAAAATATTTCTTTAATTTCTAAATGCAAATGTGTATATAAAGTTGTTATGTATAACCCTATTAAGATGCCCTGACATATTTTATTTGTGTGACGCTCATGATAATGGTTATTGGTTCGGTAATAACAACAACAAACATGGAAGCCCATATCGAAGCGGTTATGAACTGATTATAACAATGCAGAGTTTATCTCTAGTTTAGTTCTGATATGATAAGATTTCTAGAAATCTTGCTGTGTAACACCTAAACAATGGATAATGTTTACAAGTTACAAGTGTTTAACAAATATCAAAGGACTCGAGAGAAAACACTGTTTGTACATTTTAACACATATTTTGGCACAAATGAGTAAAACAGATCTTCATGTGGTGGTTTTGAAGGAACTGACTGTTTAACTCAATATCTAACCAAAGAAACTTACTTGAGGGAAAACTTTTTAAGACGCAAGCTAAATGTGTCCGAGACTACGTGGACATTGAAAGAAGATATAAACACTTAAAGTTTCATTCAGTGGAATGTTCTTAATTTGAACATTCCTTGATCCAGTAACTTTGTTCAGCAATGGATCTGGCGAGTTTGATCAGTAAACTTTACGCATATAAACCACCTGTATATGAAAGTTAGGTGTTTTTCATCTTGTAATAGTTCTGCTATCTTCTTAGTATCAGTACCTGTTATTATTACAGAGATCAACTATAAAAGAGGAGATGTATATCAGTTTTATGTAGGAACCTGAACACTGTTGTTTTTGTACAATTTTAATTTATTTTATTATTTTGTGAAAATTTGGAATTGATTGCATATCTTTTATAATCGAATAAATCTTTTCACAACTATGAAATCGTGAAGCAGTTTAGAGTAAGGCATCCCGTTAAAACACCTATCAATTGTTGAATGTTTATCTCTATCATGTCTATGTGTATTTTGATTGCTGTCTCATTGACGTATATCCTACATATATGACTGGTCGTGTTCGTGATGTATAAGACCGAAGTCGCCTCCGGTCGGAATTGAGATGTTGAAATTTATGTCTCGATTATAAGTTGTGACAGGCTCATGCCATGGTACAAAATCACAGCATCAACTCTTTGCAGCTTAATACGAGTCTACATTAATTTTATTCCTCTATCGAACATTCAATGGCAACAATGAAAAAGTTTTCCAACCTATACCAGTCGACCCAATTAATTGTTACTGCCTATCTAGTTGTTCTCATAGTTAATAAGCAACATATATAGAATAATGGCATTTTTGTTTTAATATTGTAAGTGTGAGTTGATATTCGAGCTAATGAAGTCAGTATTTATGTTGTCAAAAAACAATTAGTGAACTAACTACTAATATTTAAGGTCAAATTTGTCTATTTCGACAATTGAGTAAGGCTACTATTTTTATACCGTCTACTTTTTATTACCATACACTGCCTGGTGATGAAATAAACTTTTCGGGGCCTTTTATAGCCGACCACACGGTATAGGTTTTTCTCATTGTTGAAGGTTACCTATAATTGCTCACATTCACTTCATTTGAACTTTGGTGGATAGTTGTCTCATTGGCAATCATACCACTTCTCCTTATTTTTATGTTGCTGTTAATCATTTTTCACCAATGAGATAGACAAACCCATAGTTATGATAAACGGAAGAATATATTTAGGCTATGTCAGTTAAGTAAAAGACTAGTCAGAGTTTTTAACATCATCATTCTAAATCTACGTCTGGACTCAATACAAAATGAAATATAATGTGACACATTAGCTTTTCCAAGTTTAAATTAGGCTTTGGATTTTTCAATATTTCATACCCCGAGGATCACTAAAGAGACAATACTTGTCGATAAGCGCAACTCGTGCAGTAAATTTGGTACCGTTAATGTTCTTATTGCGGCTTTCTAGATGATTCATAATATTTTGTTGTGTTGTGTAGAAAGCGTCGCATTGAACAAAACCCCATATTTCCTGTCATTCTTTGCTATATTGATTGGACGACTTTATGCAACATGCTTAACGTCTATTTACTTTTACCTTATCATTGAATCGTGTGTGCGTTTATCATAAACAAAAACGCGCGGTAACACGTCCTATAAACATTTTACTCTAAGGAGACAGCATTTTCGTTCAAAATGCTGCGTTAATAAATCGAACGCATTCGTTTGGGACACGTTGAAAAGACGATCTAAACGGTTATGAAAGAAAAACGACATTTTTGACATACCTGAACAATATTTTAAACAATACATGGAATTGAATTGTTTCATATTTTTCATGTCTGGGCCTTATACAGCCGACTATACGGTATGGATTTTTATCATTGTTGAAGGCCGTACGGTTGCCTATGATTGCTTACATCAACTTAATTTGAACTTTGGTGGAAAGTTGGCTCATTGGCAATCATACCTCATCTCCTTATTTTTATATATATTCAAAATTTTCAAGAAAAGTGAATTTTCAATACAAGAAAAATAATATTATTAGTAATAATACGATATATATGGGGTTAGTAGATACCATAAGAGGGGAGAGCGAGCGAAGCTGACGATAGCGATAACTTTATTTACTAACTCAGGCACTTTGAGGTGCAATAAGACCAATAGTTTACACAATGCATATACACTATATTTAGCAAACAGAATAAAAGAAATTATGAAAACACATAAATTAAATGAGAATGACATAAACTTACTAGTACAATATTTAAAGAAATGCTACCTATTCCAGCATTTGCCTCTGAATGACTGCGAAAATTACAGAATCTAAACATTATTGCTTGATATAATTCATATTTTTTTATGAAACTTCTCAGTTTGGCAATTTGTTTTATTATATATACAATGAGATAAAGCTCGAGTCCCATATGGAATTAACTGAGTTTGTATATATCGTATTAGGTCACAAGCAAACTGTAACCAATTTATCTTTAGTAACTGACTATCTTAATATGGGTAATTTAGATGTACATGTAGCTGTAACCTTGATATCACAATTTTAACAAACATTAAACAGAAAATTTATTTACAGTGCGAAAGTCAGTGTCTCTTAAACATAGTCTGTCTGCAAGCATGAATAAATGATAATAATGTATGTTAATATGAAAGCAAAACTCATCAAAGGTACCTGGCTTATCATTTTGTACGCCAGACGATTCTTGATTTACCTTCATCAGGAACTCTCAAAGCCAAACATTGGAAATCCGAGGAAGTATAAGTACCGAAACCGTTGAAGAGCTATATGACAAAAATACCTAAAATTGATAGCCAAATAGGGTACTTTACGACACGATCGGGTTGTGACGGACAACCATCGGATTATTACTCCAGTTTTCAATAAACATTCCTTATCTGGGTTGTAAACTTGATTTTTTTTCCTTACTTATTTAAGAAATGATGTAACACGTGTCAATACGTTTAAATGATTTTTTTCATTTACATTTTCTAATTTTACGTCAGTATTAATAAAAAGAGTTACGTGTCGAACCTCAAAAAGTCTATAATCATTGTTAGTGTAATTCTATTATTTGAAACCACTCATATACTAAAATATATATACATCGTCGAAGTTTACATTGGTAAAAAAAGACAGATTCATATACATAACATTGCGCACTGTCTCTTTGGTATAGTTTCCAATGCTATTTACACACATATCATATTCGGACATTGTACTTGTTCTCCAGTTTAGTTGTCACATTGGATGAGCGAGACTGTGTTTCGATCCTTCATGCCATTTAGAGATTTCCATCTTGTCACCGTATCAGTCTTGTTGTCCTCATGTTCAGTAAAAACTGTAAACAAAAGGTTTCCCGTGATAATTACAATTGTAACTATTTGAAAAGGTCAGTACATCTTTCATATGTCGACACGGTGAATAAATACAGAACTATGGCGTACTCTTCAATAGACATACTTTCAATGATCGATAAACCGTACAATTACCAATATGAAAAGGCTACTATTGTTTAATAAGCCTCATTTTTAGATGCATGGCAAATAGTACACAAACAGGAACAAGATACTTTTTAGTAGATTTGTTAAAATGATAAATTTCTGTGGAGACTTTAAACGTTATTCTTATTCCTCAGCTGACCATGTGGAAAATAGTCAGCCTTTACATTATCCTGTCCTTTCTATTTTGTTGATATCAAAAATGTGTATTTATCCAAAGTGTAAATTAATGACCGATACTGATTGTTTTAATTTCCTTATCAGCCTCCAATTGAATATATGTAAAAGCCATTCATCAGTCATAAGTGTTTCATAGTTCAATACAATTTTCGTCTGGTACCCCCTACTCCCTACCCTACCCCACCCCACCCCCCATAAAAATCAACCACAAAAAAAACCCCACCAAAAACGTAATCAATTTCCAATCGAAAACAAAATGAGAAATATGATCATTAAAAAAGGTATAAGGTGTGCATGTAAATTATCATTTATGAAGGACAGAAACCAACAAAACAATACCAAACCATATCAATACTTACCCTTTTCACATGCATCTGAATCTGAATTCTGCATTCTTTCGAGGTGTTGTTGACGCCTACATAAAATACACGAGCATAACAGTAGTCCGTCTACGGAACATTCTGCCAAAAGACCTCTTGCATCTATATACAAACACATTGTACTGATATGAATTGAAATTAATAGTATTATTTGACAATCAAAGATTTAAAAAAGAGCATCGCATCAAGAATTCATTAAACTGTTAAAAATACAAATATTATTTCATAGGTTAACTTCAGTTGTAAAGTGATTGTATAAGCGCATGTACACGTGTGTTAATATCTAAAAGATCTTTATACAATGCTCAATTTTTTGAATGAAGTCTTACTGGTACTGTTATTTCCTCTAAATTTACTGTTGATGAGTTGTCAAATAATTCATTTCTCCAGTTATTGATTGCATTAGACATATTAGGTACATGTTACTGGATATTTTGTTTTGTTTTTCGGTACTCTACAACTTCCTATACGTGTTGATTGTTCGACTGTTATGAATGGAGGGCCACCGATGAGTCATTTGTAGACGAAAAGTGAATCTGTCGTTTTATTTTGGTAAGCTTGATGTATTTTTCACTATATGTTGAATTTTCTCATGTCATGACAATTTGGCATACATGCATAATATAGAGGACACTTTTAGTTACTAGTTAATAACAATTTATTTTCAATAAAAGTGCTAATTCACCATTATTTACTCTGCAGATTAACCTACACATAAGTTCTTAATCTAACATAGATAAGCTTACTTATGTTTCTTGTTCTGTTAGTTAGACATGTGAAACAGTATCTTCCGGTTTTTCGTTTTCTCATACGACAACAAATGCACAAATAAATTGTCAATCCACATAGAACCAAGAAACCAGTAATTCCCCCTGATATTCGACCAATGACATCATTTGATTTAATATGATAAAAGTTAGAACTTTTTGTACAATCTTAAATTCATGAAAGAAAGCATATGATTCCATCAACATCACACTATTATCAAAATACATTTTGTACGTTAAACGGTTTTTCTTACATGTCATTGTACATAACTCGTTACTAAAATATTGTCAATTTTTTAACCATTACAAAAGTTATGTAACATGAACAACACGAGAAGTGCCAGGATGTGGATCAGGAACTGCATACCATTACTGGGCACCTGCTATCATCCCTAGTTTTTGGTTGGGGTTCGTGTTGCTAAGTCTTCAATTTGTTTTGCATGTTGTGTTCTGAAGAATGTTAATAGTCTTTTGTTTGTTTTTCGGTTTTTGCAATGGCATGTTTATGTCGTTTTTTACTTATCAGTTTGAATATCTCTTAACATCTTCCGCCTATCGGATAAGAAACAATAAACTCTTCCAACTGATCGTATTTGTTCATTTCCTAATCAGAATTTCCAGGCCCATATCAATCGCATTTTCGTTTCATAGGAATATATTTTACACCTTTCTTAATTCAAATAGAAGCGTCTTGTGGTTGTCGATTTCAGACCTATGTATCTGTAGTTTAGCTTTAATCCAAGACTACTTTTTCTTATGTATCTTTTCAAAAAGTATTTGGTGTGCAATGACAATAACGCTTTCATGATATTTTGTGTCTGGTTATGATTTATAGCCTGACCGGTTTTAATCCTTCACAGATCGTCTTCAGAGACAGAATTGAAAACCCATTGAAGCAATTGTATTAGAGAAATCTTTATATATATATATATATATATATATATTTATCATGTTTGTACTAAGATAGTAAAGAGTAGACAGTTGTCTCATTGGCAATCATACCGCATCTTATTTTTTATATTTGGAATATTTGCGTCTATGTAAGAATCAAATACATTACAATTAAAAATTCCAGGGGACTTGTTACCGTTACATCTTAACGGAAACATAAACTAATATGCTATGCTTACAATTGTATTCCAATTCTCCGTCAATTTGAAACTTAAAAGTGTCATTTAGTGTGTCAGGTGCTTTTGCTATTTCCACTGGTGCTATTTTGCCGTGTCTGTTGATTCCATCGTTACTTATGTTAGATTTTTTTATCTGGAAGGAAACTAAATCGAGATTGTAAAGCCACTCCGAAAGACCACTGTTCGAGTACGAGCACCCTTTGCAACTTTCACCTGTAATCTTGAAACAAACAAAAAAAGAAGCAATATATAAATTACTTGTAAACAAGAGTTCACACTCTTAAATGTCTCATCTGCTTTACTGACCATTGATTTAATGTTGAATGTCTTAAATATAAAGGTTTTACTACAAGTATCACATAAACTTAACAATTTTGAAGATCCATGAAAACGAGGTCAAGGTCAGATAAATCCTGTCAGACAGACATGAACATCTTACAATTATTCCATACACCAAATATAGTTGACCAATTTCTTATGGTAAATTTGGCTCTCCATGTTTTATTTCAAGAGCGCATCTTATGAACAGCATGTCTATCTCACGTGTTCAATATTTTGAATTCATGGAATTTAAGTTATTTCCTAATGAGATTTCTTCTTGTAAATTCGATATACTAGTAATATAATTTGATCCATCTCCAATGCCCATGACAAATGTATAATACGTGCGAAATCCGGACGTCGCAACTATGCATTTCTATGTTGGTTTAAATTGCACATTATTTTATTTTCGAAAAAAGGGTAAAGAGAAAAAAAATTGCTTTTCAACAATGCGTATTCCGAAAAGACTTCAAGTAGCAAAACGTAGATCAGTTTTGGACTAGCAGATTGCAAGCGCCTGTTCAACAAATGCTGTGGTATCAGTTATTTTCGTGGTTTCCAATTTTGTTATCTTTGTGTGGATATTTGCCCCATACAAGTCTATAGAAAAGTTATGATGTGAAGAACATTTAAATTCGAGGGACACCGCTACCCACAGATTCCAAGAAAATTGGCAGTAGCTTTTACATAAAAAAAAACATATTCGAAAATGAGTAACAACTAGCTATGTGTTGGTAGAGACAAAACATAACAACAATAACAACAATAAAAACCATTAAATATACTGTAAATTCAGGCATTTATGAGTGTATTTATAATTGCAATTGGTGAAAACCATCGACTAAAATACTAAATTAATTATTACGATTAAGGAAATTATGGTATCAAAAGTTATATTGCAAGTATATATATTTTCAAAACATATCTTACCGTAATTTTCGTGATAATAAAAACATCGTAAAAATATCTGTATATACAATACCTTATTAATGCCAATTCAATTAGACAAGAAGCTTTCCATGTCAATATTTATTATTAATTGTTCTTTGAGTGGTTTTATTTTACCATCGATATCCAATCCGATATTGCATAATGCCTTATTACTTCACATAGCCTATTAGCATATTTCATAGGAGTAACACGACGGGTGTCGCATGAGCAGCAGGATCTACTAACCCTTCTGGAGCACCCGAGATCACCCCAAGTTTTTGGTTGTGTTCGTGTTGCTCAGTCTTTAGTTTGTTTGTCTGTTTGTCTTTTTTTTTTAACCATGGTGTTGTCAGTTTATTTTAGACTTATGAGTTAGAGTCTCCCTTTGGTATCTTTCCCCTCTCTTTTAAAAAGAAGTGCACCAAATAGTAATTCGAAAACGAAAAGGCGACAAATTAATGCAACAGATAAGCATGTTTCAAATTACCTCGTCACCATTGTTAAAATTATATACAAAATTTGTACCACTGTATATCTTATAGTGTACCCTACTCTGACAATTAGGGCTGTCAAAATAAAGTTGTTTTACGAATATACGGTAACTGTAGAAAATCGATTTGGGTGTCGTAAACGACATTTGTCGACAATCCAGGTTCCGTAAATACCCATCAAACGTCATCAACAGTATACGTTGGTGCATTACATGCATCAGTTGAAAAGGAATCTAACAAAGATAAAATACCAATATCAAGCATACTGTAAGCAATGTATATGTACAAAACAAAATAGTTATGGAACTTTTTAAATATTTTGTTAGCTATTAAGAGATATAATTTAGATGTTCTGATTTCATTAATAAATTTGCAAAATGCCAACCAAATTTATTTTCCATAATAAGTAACATCTATCTTATCAAAACCGGACTTTGTAGTTACAGTTAGTCTTTTTACTTTGTGAATAGAACATAAAGCCCTAATAAATTTTAAACTATAAACATAGCTCATCTCTTTGCTTAATAGTGAAAAATAGGTCGGTCTTTACCAGGTAACCACGCGTACTCCTAACTCAGATATATCAACAAAATAGTTATTCTGTTTATTCGAATATCTTATATTGTTATCAGACAGTCCGTTTCTATATATGTTGCCGTTTGCTTTTGTTGTAGTTCAGTGTTTCTGTTGTTCTGTTGTTTTCCTCTTATAGTTGATGTGTTTCCCTCGGTTTTTGTTTGTTACTCGGATTTGTTTTTGCTTAATCGAATTATGACTGTTGAACAGCAGTATACTACTGTTGCCTTCGTTTATACATATATAAAAGAGGTAACCTTATACCTTGCAAACGAAAACACTCGGAATCGCCTAGAAATTCCCTTACATCACACTTTACTTGGTTTATAATTGAAAATATATTTGTTACATTTGTTTATGTGTTATGCATTGGCATCTATAGAAAAATAGAAATACTGGGCATTATCTTTTGTCTCCTCGATCCGCTAAACGGATGATTTCCTTTCTCTGAAATGATTGCATAAATCCATTTAAACTTGATAAAGGATCCTACATTTTCAAATAGATCTGTCTGATATGGTTAATTTAAAAAAAACAACATTTTAACACTTTGGAGAAAGATGTTAATAATTTAGAAAGAGGTTTCGTGGAGCACTTGGATGACCCAGCAGTATACCATTGTTTGTAAGGACACTTATGTAGTTTAGGTATCCAATACAGTGATGGAAGATCCAGTTCTTCATCTTTGGTTGAAATTCCAAAGGAACATAGAACAGACCTATGATCATCCAGGATTTCCTCTTTGGTAAGTGTCGTGAGGGTATAAGTTGAGTTTCAAAGTGAATTGTCAATACCTAATTCATTTATCAAGCAGTCTATGTGATGATATTTACACACAAAAACGATGTTGTTTGGGGCTTTATCTGCGGGGACAACAACATATTTGTCATGGAGGTAGGACAAGTGTTTTGCAACATTTGGGTCTTTAAAAACTGACGTAGCGTGGGTATTGATATGCCCATTCAGTTTCTTAATTCGGATTTGTATCAACGACCTCACAGCCTTAATCCATTCGGAAAGAGTATCTACGTCTTCTGTCTCGCGTTTAGCCCATTGCCTGGCATAATCCTCGACTGAATCCATCAGTATTTTGAGGTTGTATTTCCAATTGATGGATTTAGGCTCACGATATTTCGGACCTTTGGATAACAAATTTTGCAGGGAAGTGTTATTGACAATGTTAAGGTCTCCGGTAGTAACGTGGCCAGCCGGATTATATGTGAATTGGGAACTAGTACAGGTGCAATCAGGAGGTTTAGACTTGAAGTCGTCAATGTTGAGATCCTGCAAAACGTGTTTGTAATTGAAAATTTTAGTTGTAATTGGTTTGGTATAGGTATAAGAAATTATTGGTACAGACTGATCTTTAAAATAAGGTGGTATTTTCGACTGAACTAATTTATGATGAAGGATATTGCCTAAGTTGACGCCATCGAGACCTTTGTTGGCAAAGGAAAGTTTAAGAAAAAATCTTTTCTCTTTTTCATCTTTTCCAATGCGAACTGGTTTGAAAAGTCTGTGACTTGCAATATCCGAAATGATAGCTGTAAGTTTGTATTGGTTTGAATGAGGGTTTGTAACAGTGGTTAAATCATGCTTTTTATAACAATTATCAGTGACGGAGATTTTTTCGAGCTACAGATTGTGCAATTTTGTCAAATTTTAAATAGATTATACATGGAAAACATAACTTTGTGTTATACAATGAAAACTGAACAATAGAATTTTTAGATTAATTATGAGAAAATAGCTTTTTTAACGTCTTTTCAGAAGAAGAAAAAATTGGTCAAGTGGATATGTTCTTTCTAAGTATATTAAAGCAAACAGGTAAACTCACTATTAATTCCTTTCTGATAATCATATTTTCTGAGTTATATCCCCTAATATGGCTAAGTTGTAAAGAGATGGACCAAACAAAAACTATACTGCATTTTAAATTCAATACAATGAAGCACTATCGAGGCCTATATATTGTGTATACCATAAGTTATTTAATAAAAGGAGTTTGAATGGTAACTAAACAACCAATAATACACGTAGATTAGGAATTAGGTAATAACTTTAAAAATTTTTTTGAAATTATAAGTTATCTATTTATTACTTATACTTAAACTAAGCGTGCAATTCGCTCGTTGCTAAGTTGACCGTCAACATATCTCTGCTTCATTAATATTTCCTACAGCGCCGTCATTACAGTTTTATTTGGGTTTTTATATGGTTTTAACTGTTTTGTTTTTACATTTAATCTATTGATTTTGAACTTAGCTGGTGAGGTTATTAAAGTGTCACCATAAAGAAATCAATATCGTATGTTCATTTTATTAAATTTTTTACCACTTGGTCAGTGCTTCTGCTGGAGGACTCTCTTGTCCAGAAGGTACTTTTAAACTGGGAGATAACCAGCTGTACATGTTCATGTTGAAATTTACTGTACTTTAAATTCCCCCAGCAAAGTAGACTTAAAGAAAAACAATGTACTTAACTGGGCAATATGTGTACGTAACTAGGCGATATCTAGGATTTTTTATATGACATTTTTATTATTCAGACTATATTCAAAAACATTTGACAATACAAAATGGATATAATATGTACATTTATACACAATCAATTACAATCAATAAACAACTGCTATTACATGTATAACAATGCAATGTACAAACCGACAAAAGGCTGTGATAGTCAATAGAAGTTGTTTTCACGGCAACTTTAATGGCAGAATAAAAGATGTAATAACACGTCAGAACACCAATAAAAATCATTATTTGAAGAAATACATTTCTGAAAGAATAATGCGAACAAAAGACAAAATTTCCCCCCAAAAAAGTTGAATAGCATTTCTGAAAGAAGAAGGCGGAAATACAATTAACAGTCAATGAAACGCTGCACAGATTGACAAAATAATAAAATAAGAGGAGACAACATACCAAGAAGCAATGTTGTACTCTGAAATGTTGACGAGTTAGCAGTTGAAACAGAGGTATCTATTGTGAATCTGTTGGGTGACGTAAATCCAGATTCAAAGGAAGCTTAATGTTAAAATAATATGAAATATTTACCTTATTTCAACTTCAACAATCTCTTCGTTAATAATTATATCCAAGTTATAATGTTAAAACATGCGTATATTCAACGCGGTGTCTTTCTGTATTAAAAACGCAATATAGAAATATTAACCAATCAGTCCACTGCAGGAAGAAAACAAACTAAGGAATAAACAAAGACATTCTTTATTAATTTTTTTTTTGGTTATATAATCTTCAACATGACAGGCATAAATTAAACTAAAGTATTTTACATTCATTTACGACTTGGAGATAAATAATACGGGTATTATTCGTGAATACAATTAAATTGATCGATTACAATATTTAATGGGGAAAGTGTCATAGCTTGAAATTAACTAACTAGTATTTATCAATGCTTGATATTATGGGATAATCTATAAGCGATACATTCATTTTAGTTTAAAAGTTCTTGATTGATAACAAGTGTATACAGTTAAAAGACAAACTGTATTGGAGCAATACATGGCAACTCATATTCAATATAAGATTAGTAGATGTGGTATGATTGGCAACGAGACAACTATCCACCAGATACCAAACTGACGTAGATGTAAACAACTATTGGTTACCGTATTTCCTCCAGCAATGAGCACAACCGATATCGCATAGCCAACTATATAAGACACCGACATGACAAAATGTAAAATAATTTAAATGAGAAAAAACAGTCATATATAACATTTGTGAGGACGCCCATCTCTCTTCCTAACATGGTACAGTAGTGTATCTGCACAACATAATAACAACCTATAAACATTAATGGAAAATAGCTTGACTCATCAGACCGATATAAAGCATTATAACAAAAAACAAAAACACTAAAGAAACAAAATACCGCCCTGAGGGTACTCGCTTTTACTGAAATCAAAATAATACTATTAATAATGTGTATTCGAAACGCTATCTGTATTAACCTTCACAAAAGAACGTTCAAACACAATTATTTAAATACCAAAGATGTACAACACCGACATTGTACACACTTAAAGAGCCATCAAACAAAAAGGGACCAAAAATGGCGTAATTCATATGAGGTGAATTTTGTTAAAGGGAGTTGAAACCTTAGTTTATAAATTATTCATAAATTTATAAACGGACAATTTAAGAAAGGTTTGTAATGAATCATGTCAATCCAAACGTACTGACTACTGACCTGATGATATCCTTATTGCCTGATTGTCCACCAGCAGAGATTAGACACATTGCTGTAAAAAAAGGAAGAAAAAAACCACTAATTTCTTCATACCTTGTTGGTTGTAAAAATTAATCATCCCCCCTCCCCAAACTATAATTTCTTAACTATTTTTGTTTTCATATAAATAGTTATATTGTAAACGTCTGACTGCTCAGCTAATGACTTACTGTCTATCAGCAGGGGTATCGGCTTATTGCTTGTCAACGAAAAAAACACTATTAATTGTGTGCGTCCGATGCGATTTTCTGGATTTACCTTCAACACTGACGACCAAACCCAGTCATTTTGAATCCATAAATGTTTAAGACCTAAACATGTGGTGAGCTATATGACCAAAGTTACTTTGAAAAAACAACCAATTCGCCTAAATCAATGAGGGAGTTGGAATCTTAGTTTCTTAATAATATCTTCATGAAATTTAAATTCATAAAAAAATATGAAAAATTATGAAAATTTATTCAAATACAATAATAATTTATAAGGAAATATGTATCGGAGACAAAATATGATTCAGTACACATCCATTGGATTTATTCGTAAAGACGTCATACACAGTTCAAAAAAAAAACATTACCTTTTGTTATTGACAGGATACAGAACCGTTAGTATTGATCACTGTATATGAATAATATTTAATTATGTTTTAATTTTTATTGATAACAAAATCAATGTTGGTACCTATAAAACCAATATTCAAAGATCTAGTTACAAAGCTTAATTGATAACTTTTTGAAATAATTTTTTTTAAAGGATCGATAAGTTTTTATGTATCGTATCTAAATTTACGACCCTAAACATCATCAACATAAACTTTGAATGTGGTATCCGGTTTGCAATATTATTCTAAAGGTACAAGTATATCAATCATGCTATACTGAAATATCCAGACGAGTTAAATATTGTGAAATCAATATCATTTAAGTTCGTTCGTTTTATTCAACTTCATATAAGTCTTTGTACAGCAAAATTCCTTTCTGGCGCTTCCAGTTGTAATAAAAGTAGTGAAACTGAATATAATTAATTAAATGTTGGTCGAGTTGTAATCTGTCTGGCATCTAATGACATCAGTAATCTTAAGGAGGTTAGTGATTTCATAAATTTGTTATGCAGAAATCAATATTCAGGTTAATATGTCTATCAATGGTCTCATATTTTTCTCTTGGACATACTCTCACATAAAGGTTACATCAATTTGCAAAAATAATTATGATCAAGTTCATCCAGTAATTGTTCGCTGAAAGTGACGATTTAGATTTTATTGCTTTTGGGAAAAGAATTTTGCAGACATGTCACAATTGCCGGATCTATTTTTCACAAATCTGACAATAGTGTTATGCTTATCCGACCTGACGGTGATCTAAACTTTAACTGTCAATTGTAAGGTAATAGACGCGACACAACAACGATTCTTTCTTAATACTGAGCCAAACATATGGTAACTTAAACTTTTCAAATTTCAAACTATTAAGTTAGAAATACTTGATTAAAACAGAAATGTATACACACATTCACTGCTTTCTAATATTTATACTTGCACATTGCTGCTATTGGTTGTAGATTGTATATGTGTTTCATAAATCATTTAAATCAAAGACCAATCGTAGGAAAGTAGTAATAACCATGTGAATTTCCACTGAGTGTTTAGTCAATGTCAATGGTAGACTCTAAATGAAACAAAAGGCAGAAGATAACGAGCAGACAAAAAAAGATCATAAGTAGATGAAAAACTACAATACCATCATCAGAAAGAAAAAAGACGAAAATACAAACAATAATCTACCAAACAATCATAGAAAACTAAAGACTGAACGACACCCACTTAAAAATAAAAACTGGGTACTAGCATGCGCTCTGGGAAGATAAGCAGATTCTGTTAGAATTCAATGGAATTTTCATTTATACCAATCGAAATTAAATACACATCAGATCTTAGATTATCTACGTAGACATTTTAAAATTTCGTACCAACAATACAAATATTTCAGACCTAATTACTATTTAAAAAAACAACGGCTGTTAACCAAGTTCTGTTCTTTACCTGTTAATAAATTACATAAAATTTTAGAGGATTGCAACACAATTCCATAATGCAGTCCTAAGTATGAAATCGTCCAAATTATAATTGCATATTGTTATTCTAAACTGTTTCCCAAAATTGACCATACAAAACATTTAATTAAATCAGATATGTCAATAAAGGTTTTGATTTTGTAAATTATGCCGGTATTCTTAATGATAATTCCGTAAAAGAACACATTCCTGGTTATTTTGATAACACTGCAGTGACAATACACCTGCGTCATAAAATTGCAGTAATTCCAAATACCTTTATGGTCCCAGTTCCCATGTTATAACATGATACCTTAACATCGTCCATGACCGAGAGTTGAAATCATTCCTCAGAATAAGACCTAAATATCGTCCCCAGTCAATTATTAATTGGAATGAGTGTCGTAACATCATCCACGACTCACTCCATACTTACTGCACAAAATGGATAAAACGAGAAAAAGCTGACAAAAAATCCTTAAATTCTTTTTTTTAATTCATTAATGAACATAGTTGGTATTCGTATTAAACATTTAAAAGAACATTTTACTCCTAACAACAACCATAATAGCTCTATTCCTCGTATCAAACATAAGCTAAAAGAACTGGCCATGGAATTTGTTTTTGTCCTGGCTGATAAGGCTGCCAATAGTATCATTATTGTTTGACGTAAATTTTACATTGAAGTTCTGCAAAAGGAAATCAAGAATTCACCAATATTCAAACTGACTCCATTTTTGGAAAGCGACATCTGTAACAAACATAAATGTTTAGCTACCTCTCTACAAGCAGCACCGAATAACATGAAAGTTCCAACTATGTACTGGTTCCACAGCTAGCTGCACAAAACACCTTACAAATATAGATTTATGTCGTCTTCAAGCCGTTGTTCCACTACTAAACTGTCTATTCTACTTACTAGTATACTTGGTACAATAAAAAAACTGGTAATAAATTGTTCAAAGAAGGCCTTTGAAAATTATTGTGGAATTAATTACTTTTGGAGTGTCAAAAATTCGTTGCAAGTACATTGCATGCTCATATTGGTGATTTTGAATCTGTTCAAAATTTTGATTTTCCACCCTATATACCACTTTGCTTCATAATCTCAAACTCAAATTTCAAAAATAAAACACCTAAATAAATGCGAATATATATGTTCAAACTCTTTTAGGTCACTTTTTAGTAACAACAAACAAAAGAACTATGTAAATTGGACCTGCTTTGATACGATAACTGCACTTGATTTTTTACTAGATAACATTTTTATTCACAATGGAGATTCCGTATATCGTCAATTATCGTAATTCCAATGGGAAGTAACTGTGCACCACTTATTGCGGACCTGTTTCTGTATTGTTACGAGTTACAATTTATGACTAAAACCAGCAAAGACCTATCGAAACAACATCTGATACAAAAATTTAATAACACTTTTAGATATTTAGATGATATATTGTCTCTCAATAATGACTTCAGTATGTACACTAAAGAGATTTATCCTGCTGAACTGACTTTAAATAAAGCTAATGCTAACAATGAAACTGCCCTTTCCTGGATCTTTAACGGGAAGATTAATACCAAAATTTACGATGAAAGAGATGATTTTTCATTTCCTATTGTTAATTATCAATTTTTAGATAGTGACGTTCCCTTGTCCCAATCTTATGGTGTTTATATATCTCAACTTGTTCGATTCGCTCGTGTATGTAACAACGTATTTGATTTTAACGAAAGAAATCGCTGTATTATGGAAAAAAATTTAAACCAGGGTTTTCGATATCTCAAATTTGTCAAAACATTTACTAAATTTTATCATCGGTACAAGGACATCATTCGTAAATATAAACAACTTGCAGACA